ACAATTATGGATTTCAAACCAGGTACGTAATATTGGCATAATGTTGATTGATTATTTTAGCGGACAGATTCTAGAGCCTTATCCTTATAACCAAACCAATAAGCAAAACAGCACGGTATATAGGCTAAGACCAATTTGATGTAAGTGACCAATTTGATTGCACTTTGTTAAAGTTGATGCATCCAACCTAAGACACTACTAGTGGAGAGGCCTAAGAATTTGTATAACACCCTGCTCATGTGTGGATGGACTAAGCCAAACTGATAGATTAATTATGTAGGATGACAAGGAGCATGTGAGGCCAATTGGGCCTAAAACATGGATAAATTGCCCATTCTGATACAACGTTGAAGTTGGAGCATCCAACCAAAGTGGGCTATAGTGGAGAAGCACATTATATTGTGTATCGAGATGCAAGGCATAGAGTGCCTCATGCACAATTTCTATATTCTCATAGAAGAAATAACTATTTACTTATGATTATGATAGTTAGGATCTTGCTACATGTCAAACTTGCAGGACCCCACAAAATTTACACTAAACCTTGTATGTGATGGTAAATGAGACATGCACGATAGAACCTGTTGAATAAGTCCAAAATTTCCATCCCTTTATAATTCTATTAACAGCTATCAGTGTCATGCGAAGCATTTTCAGGTGAAGAGAAGCTAAATACACTAAAATAGTAACAATTGATTGTGACAACTGTGAATCAAAATTTGCAATATCACCCAGATATGTATAAATAAAACAAACACAAATTCCTTCAATAATCCCACACTAAAATTCATTCACTCATTTATCACTGAAACATTCCAGTCCAACAAAAATGTGCAGTGAAATAAAACAAAATGACAGATATTTTCTCACCAAGGTGCGATTCAACAAGGAAGCAATAGCAAGTGCCATCCTTATCTGCTTTATCTGAACAAAGCCATTTCGGATATAAATCATATGATGCAACACTGTAATATCCAGATCATTGCTAAAAGTTAATGGAAGCACGTTAGTACATACATACTTGGTAATTAATAAGAGAAAAATGTGATTTAACATTATGCTCCCCATCTAGTAACAAGCTCTTCGGAATAGATGGCTTAAATGACAAAAACCCTCCTGCATAAATTTCCAAAGATGTCAAGCGGCATTAGCATGAGAACAGTCATCAGTACAATATGAACAAATGCCAGAGTAGCGAATCCAGATATTCAAGTGGTCAAATTTTCAGTTCTATGCAAACTTTTTTATTGCTGATGAGGTGGCAAGTTTTGAAGAAAATTCAGACTTAGGCAGTGGTTTGGTTATTGGAATGAACAGAGGAACGGACTGGCATTCCTATAAAATGTCCATTTCCCCAAAATGATACCAATTTTCAATTCTTCCTACTTTCCTCTCCAGCTCTCAGCATTCTATTCTAATTCTAATTCCATTAGGTTCTAATGGTTAAATCTACCAATCAAAGAGTACCTTAGTTTCTTTAGTACAAGAGCAAATTTCAGAGATGTAAATGAGCATGAAAGATCAAGCTCCATGAGATGGGAGGAAACTTAACTGAGAAGATGCAAAGAAAATGATACACATTCACTTTCACAGAAGCAAGCAGTTGCTAGAAAAATGCATCCTAAGAAGATCGAGAAGATGTGCAATGCATGGCACAAGTATTGGCGATATTTTATGTTAGTACCTGGTGCATCATAGTATTCTGGTGGGTCATAGAAAACCATGCCTTCACGTAGTCGGTGGCGCTTTCCTTCAGTACCTGCATACTGGAATGTGGTATGCACTGCGTATGGCTCCAACCTCAATTGCTGATACATGGCCTGCAATTAAACCATTAAAAAGCTTAGGACTTGTGCGATACACAACCTTTTATAGCTTATATGGACTACGTTCATGCAAGAAACCTAAGTTTGAGGGTGCAATTGAGGAAAAGATGGAAGAAAACTATAAACCCATGCCGAGATTAACTATGAAGATCCAATGTCCAAACTACCAAAGAAAAACTATAGAACCCTACCTGGACAAAATATGTATGCCCGCTACAAAATATGCTTGCAGGCAAAACTCCCAGCTTCAGATTTCCATCAAAAGCATACACAAGTCCACTCTCTCCATCAACAGGTGGTCCTAACTGCTTCCTTACGAGATCATTAAACCCATTCTGATCCCATATCTTTTCATCAGCTAGAAGCATATCTTTCCATTCCTTAGCCAATCTTTTAGCAGCATCTGTTGGCCGCCAGTGGAAAATTCCAATATTGTAGGCAGCACCAACTGCTAGAGGGAAGAAATCAGCAAAATAACCAAAGCAATAACTTTAACATAAACAATCAACAAGGGTAACAACAGAGACTACGCTGGAGTCAAAACTGAAGAACGGTAATGAAGGTATCCACAGAAACAGGGAAAGTTACGGATCCTATACTAGTATCCCCAAGGGGTAGACCCCTCCCAAAGTATTAGCATAGTTATAATTTGTGGCTGGACACAAATTCATGTCACCAGATACAGAGATCCAGCACATGGAATAGCTGCAAACATTTTATGCACGTATAGGATAGTGGAGATGAAAAAAGAAGTATTTTAACACAAAATCTTCACCTTGTTGCCAAATGTCCAACCTGTCATCAGTGACTGTTGGTACAACTTGATCACTGGAAGTCAAGACATCTGCTTCAGGATAGCGAGCAAGATATGGAAGTGGGTCCTGTTCCACGAAAAAATATATATGATAACTCATAATCGTCAGACGAAACAAACTAAACAAGTAAGCATTCTTGACAAAAAAATATTAAGAATTAAAGGACTAGCTGAAAAACTACCTTTAACCAAACCATGTCAGTATCGCACATCAAGAGCTCATAGCCATAAGGGAGGATTGAGTCTATCAGTATAACTTTTTCTCTCCCCATCTTGTGGAATGTTGGTGATCCCCATCCAACATCTATTGTGCTCATATGGCTGCCCATATCAAATACTGAACACCTTTCCAGTACAAAGTCTCCAACAGTTTGGTGTCCATTGCACCTAAGCCATCAATTTTAAACTCATAAGTGCAGACATAAATAGAAATACAAAAACATATGTTCCCTTACAAGGAAATGGAATAGATATGTAAAGAAATTGGAAAGGCCAAAAAGACATAAAAGTGCACAACCCAGAATGCGGGGTAGCTTACCAATGAGAAGGTTAGAAAGCCCCAGATCAGTCAAGTGTTTAACCCAAGTCAGGATAAAATCCATGAATGCATAGTTCCCAAAGGTCACAATAATGACGTTATCCTTTACTCTTTCCTGAACCAGTTCTTTGCTCAGTCTAAATTTCTTCAAGGCTGGCATTTTCTTCGTGTGTAGAGGAGCTTCCCAAATGGGCCTTGTTGACATGCTTCGAGGCTCTAGGGAAGGTGTGGGAACTGCTTGAACTATTGCTGGTTGAGAAACATTGGGTGCTTGCTCTACAGGAGGAGAACCTACATCTGTAGCAATTTGTGAATTCACAAAAATTAAAGACATGCAGGGAGAGGGAGACGACTGAAATCATAGACAGAAAGCTTACTGAATAAACACCAAATATTGCAAGAAAGGGTGGATTGACAAGAAGCAAATGGCTTGAGTTCTACAATATTACTGATGGCACCATGGAAAATTAAATTTACTACTTGACTATGTAGGAACCGCACGCAGTGTAATCATTAATAAAGTGAAAATATTATATATATATATATATATATATATACATCCATATATACATAAATACAAAATTTGGGGCAGATACCCAAATCCCATTTCATATTGGGGTCTGCCAATAGCTCAATCAACTCTTATGTAAACTCCAGAATGCTAATATGAGGAAATGAAAATATGAAGAAATGATATACAAAAGTGCCACAATGTTTAAAGCTTGAAACTTTTGGTGTGTAACAACAAACAAGAACCACAAAGTTGATCCACTTTTTTCAACCCAAGAAAAAACACAAAAAAACTAGACTAAAGCACCAAAACTCAGACGTTTGATCACAGGACAAGAACAAAGTTGAGTTTAGTTTCTAAATGAGCTTATGCTGTCACAGTCGAATCAGTTAAATCACTTAGCGATATAAGATAGTAGTTGTCATTAGTTAGAGATGTGGCGGGAAGAGTGAAATGGATCCTGTATAAACAAGAGCACCATTGCGACTCCACAAGAATAAAAGACAATGATAATACAATTTCCAGTGCTAAGCACATAAGCGTTGAATTATTCAACGGGCAACTAAAATCTCAAAAACCCATTTCCAATATGTGATGAAAGTGATAGAAATTGAAGGATAAGCGTAAGAAAAAATAACAAAATCAATGGGCTAGGAAACCCAAAAGGAAAAAGCAGAGAGAGAGAGAGAGAGAGAGACTGACGGGAAAGCCAGGAGGTGGTGGAATCTGCAGCAGACTTGCCAGAGTAAATGGCCGATATCACATACAAAGACGAGAAGATGATCCCAATTATTACAGTGGCATATATAGTCACGAACACTGGCTTCGCATTGTCAAACGCATTCCTCCACCCCATTGTTTCGGTTTTGGGATTCGTTTGCTTGTCTGATTATCCTTCCCACACCATTAACATCATCTTCTTTCTTCTTTCTTCTTTCTTCTGGGGAAGAAGAAGAAAGAAAACCCTAAATCCAAATGGAACCAATCTGAATCTGAGAGGTTTATTTCACTTGTTTCTCTCTCAGCTCTCAGGCTCCCAACTGGTAAAGGTCAACTCCAGGCTGAGCCTCCATGTTTGTCTCCTTTATTTCTCTCATTCTTCACTCTCTTGGCCTAATTTTTTACCAGTAATAAGAGAAGGTTTGGTTTGGTTTAATGTGAATCTGTTATACGTGGCAAAAAAGTTAATTTTTTTTTAAAATTTAAAATTTTCCATATGCTAAGGAAAGATTCTGACATAATTGATTGAACAGTTGATTATGAAATAATTGACTCATTAAAATGTTGATTATTCTATCTTGTATTTGGTTGGTGAATGTACTCGTCCTTCAAATTTTATTTCAATATTTGACGTTTACTATTTTGCCCTCGTGTGAAGAATCTATCTTTTAGTACATTTATTTCTCAGGGCATTAAGGAACTTTCAAACATTTAAACCCTCCTTTTGTCTGATTGGTAAGAGGTAAGAAGATAATAAAAGCAACTGATGAAAAAGCATTTATGATAGATTATGGATCATAAAACCCATAAATTATGGATCCTATTTTAGCTTAGTCTCCAGCTGCTCCTGCAGTCGCTGCAGCACCCGCCGCAGCTGCTCTCGCTCCAGCGGGTCCAGCTTCGATTGTAGCCGCAGCTTCTGCTGCTCCCACCACTGCCGTAGCTGCTCCCGCTGACGCTCCCCAGGCAGCACCCGCTCCTGCTCCCACTCCTGCACCCGCTGCTGCCGCAAATGCAGCTCCTGCGGGTCCAGCTCCCGCTGCAGCAGCCGCTCCCGCTCCCGCCGCAACTGCTCCAACGACTGCAACAGGCGCTCTAGCTCCTGCTCCCGCTCCTGCTCCTGCTCCTGCTGCTCTATGTTGCCCTCAACCTAAAAAGGTAAGAAATTTAGTGTGCATGAAGAAACTCAAACCTTGACCCTCAAAGGACGAAAGCTTCATTCACAAACAACTTCAGCAACCTTGTTTTTGTGGTATTTTATCAGTTACGCAATATTTATATTAACAATCAATGGTTTGTTTGTTTGTTTTTAAAGAAAATTATTTCCTTTATTTTGTTCAGTTATTCTCATGATATATATACAAATGACAACTTTTAAATTAATATTTCAAGGTTATATATGTGCGTGTATATATATATATGTATGTACGTATGTATGTATGAATATTTTGGAAATAATTTACTTTAAATCGTAATTAAATTAGTACCTCTACCTCCTGATTATCGAGAAATGGTATATTTGTAGGTGCATAATACTCCGGGATTGGATGCAACGAAGTTTCTTCCGTGCTACAAACCAACAGATTGAGAGAATATTTTCTATCAATGGAATGGAAGCCATGCATACAGATGAAAAAGTAAACAGAGAAAAGAAAGCAATCTTTTACGACTATCTTGATTATTAAAGATAGAGAGCTAGCTTAATTAGCCACTCTCTCTCTCTCTCTATCCGCTCGCACTTTAGTCTTTACATTTTGTGCTTATTGAAATAAAGTGGTATGATATCCAATAAAATCTCCCTTAATTATTTCTTAAAATTTCCAACTCCTTCCAAAAATAAATAAATAAATAAATAAAGAAGAAGAGGCCTTCTTTTTGTATTATCTCAGACTAAAAAGCTGCAAAAAGATTTAATATGCAAATTAATTAAGCAGCAGATGAGCAGTTTAATTCGTGTTTACCTTGAAGTATTGGCGTTCATCCGGTTATTACTTAGTCTTGAACCAACTAAACAGATAAGAAATATGGCAGGCAAAAGGGATGCTTTGAAAGGACTATCAGCATGCCGAAGGCAGTAACCATACTGAACTATAGAGCAAATGCACTGTGAGATGCCAGCAACTAGTCCATAAATGTCAGGAAGCGTACCAAAAGGCGTATGTTGAGAAGGTGGTGGATGATAAAACCACCAGAGCATTCCGCATCTCCTCAACACAACTCTTTC